TGATATCTATCTATCTGTCTGTCTGTCTGTCTGTCTGTCTGTCTGTCTGTCTGTCTCTATCTATCTATCTATCTATCTATCTATCTATCTATCTATCTATCATCTCTCTCTCTCTCTCTCTCTCTCTCTCTCTCTCTCATCTATCTCAAATATAAAAAATCAAATATTAAAAAACCCTACGTGCATTATAGAGCTTAAAACAAAGTAAACATAAAGAAAAAGAAAAATCCATATATATCTAATTTGATCAGTCTGAATCAGTCCACTGTGAGATTAAATATGTTAGTTATTATACAAAATATTTTTTAAAAAACCCTACATACATCATGGATTTAAAACAAACTAAACATAAAGGAAAAGAAAAATCCATCTATTTTGTTCTATCAGTCTGAATCAATCCACTGCAGGATCAAATACATTAGTGATTAAAAAAACCTATATACATTATGGGGTTTAAAACAAACTAAACATAAAGAAAAAATTATATATATCCAGCTTTATCAGCCTACATCAGTCTACTGCAGGATCAAATATATTAGTGATTATACAAAATATTTTTTAAAAACCCTATGTACATTATGGGGCTTAAAACAAACTAAACATAAAGGAAAAGAAAAAATCATATATATCCAGTTCTGTCAGCCTGGGTGTGGGATGAAGGCTTTTTCATTGATGGTTATGGATTGTAATTTAATATGCTGGTCCCATGTGGGTTGGTAGATAGATATTTTTCAACTGGCTAGGACTGAGTGAAAAGGACCAGCCCAAGGTTACTCAGCGAAGCTTCTGTGCCTAAGAAAGGATCAGAACTCATAGCCTCCCTGTCTTTAGTCCAGCACCTCTAACCACTACACCAGATGGTCTCTCTCTCCAATAGCTTTCTATACACAAAGATCTGTATGCCATCCATCTAGGATCAATATGGAATTAATTCAGTCCTTAAATTTGTCCTTCAACCTAGACCACTGAGCATTGTATCGCCCCACCTTGTTTGAGGAGCATCAAGACTTCTTAGATAGAAAGAACAAACACATATCTTGTATCGATTCCATAACATCAGGAAGATTTTATTTATTTATCAAATTTATATAGATGTCCATCTCACAATTGTGACTCTGGGCAGCATACAAAAAACCAGAACGGTTAAAAATAAAACTTGAAAAACCAGTCCACAATTAAAACGTGAATATGAATAAAAACACAGGAGGGGGCCTTCAAGGTCTTCCATGCAATATAGCCATTTTGCGGGATCCCTATTCCCATGGGATCCCCAAGCCTGCTGATGAAACCAAGTTTTAAGGGATTTCTGGAAAGTCAGTAGAGTCAGGATGAAATAATCCATAGGATACATTTCCTTCATTTCTTTCTATGTCAGTAATTGGGCAGAGTAACCTACTATAGATGCCTTGAAGGAAGACTCAAGGTAGTGACTGATTGATGGCTGGGCACATCTGCCAACCTGGGGTGTGCACAGCTGTACTGAATGGAGCCCTCTCTGCCTTGGATTTCAGGTCTTCTGGGTTGGCCCCATGTTGGGAGGGGCCAGCGCGGCTCTTATCTATGATTTCATCCTGGCACCCCGAAGCAGCGACATAACAGACCGCATGAAGGTTTGGACCACCGGGAACGTGGAAGAATATGACCTCGATGCTGACGACTCGCGAGTAGAGATGAAACCAAAATAAGGGAGGATCAAGTTTGGCAAGAAAAGGCATCCATTTCTGAAAATGTTCTCTTTTTTATGTGTGTATATGTTTTATCAGTATTATAGACTCTTTCTAAAACCACCTGCAGTTCTTCCAAATGTTTTTATAAGTCATTATGGTTTTTCTTCTCTGTTTTTATTTTTTCCTCCCATTCTTTCTGGACTTTACATCTGTGATAGACAAAATAAAATTGGGGATGGGTGAAGAGAAGGGGATGATTCTGAAGACCCATATTTCTGTTCTGGAGCCAAAGGGACTGGGGCCTTCAAAAATAGATTATTTATATATAATCACAGCACAGAGGGATGGGAAGAGTCTGCATACAGGAGGGAATTAATATGGAAGAAATGTTGCCCAGAGAGAGAAATGTCAAGGGAAGGAAA